ATCTTATGGTGACTTTTTATGATTAGAGGTATCCGAGAAACGTTATAGCATTACTTCTATGTACCTTCGATGTTTATGTATTACATTCTTAAAGATGAATGCTACTCCTAACTTATCCTCCTTCTCCCTCATAATATGCCTCTAACTGAAAGCAGAGCAAGATCACCTGCCTTTCTATCTAGGAAACCGTGTGTAATAGGAAGATGCATCTTCGTACATTTCTCCTACAGGTGATCTCCGTTTTATTGAATACTACTCGATTGCAAACCCATGTAAAATTTTACAAAAATAGATCTCGTTTCTTACAAAAAGCACCGGATGATGAAGGAGAGGATGAATTTCGCTTTACGTAAAAAGTTGCAAACTTATGTGAACTTTTGTAAATGTAGACTTCGTGTTATACGGAAAGCATTGGACGCGCACGGCAGTGACTGCCATGATTCTCGACTGATTGATTAATTTATTTACTACTACATCTTTCTATGTTTTTCTGTGTGTTATGACTCTAATACGCAAACTTTAATATTTGTGACAGAGTACTAATTTTTTGCTTTAATTAATAACAACTCATAATTGTAAGATCATATTAAATCTATATACTATATCCAATTGTGCGGTACCTATAATCAAACGTTGTTCAATTGAGCAGTGTCCAATAAAACATGTTTAAAACAACCTATGTTTAGAAATTACAATTTCTTAAAAAAACAAAAGGTCTTAAATAGGAATCATTTCCGTCAAAAAGACTAGTTGGAAAAGTTATTACTAATGGACTCCTTCCTCACACGGATTTTTACGCTACTGTCAAAAAGGAACTTACTGACACTTCTCTCTCTACCAATTTCTTTAAAGCATTGTTTATTAATAAAAAAAATAAATCAATGCAAAAAGCTTCTGGATGGATGCCGCGTGATTGAACAGCGTAATGCCGACGTTTCGTAAACGTTGCATCTTCAGGACTAGATAGCTCCGATACTGAGCTTTCTTGGGTTGTGGTCCTTATATACATTGTGGGAGATTTTTTATCTACGAGAAAGTATTCCGTTATGGCATCCCCTAGTGGTGTGAGTGTATATTAAAGGCAGTGTGCCAAATAGGGTTTGTTTGATAACCTTTGTCGCGGTTGAGATTGTCGGAATGTTTCAGAATTTCTCTCTTTAAATGTTTCCTGGCAAAATAGCTTTGCGAGGAGGCTAATCTGGCTGCTTTGTCGTATTGTACCGAGTGTCCCGTTTCCATCCAATGTTCCGCCAAGGCTGATTGACCAAAATGACCGTACTTGGTACTCCGTTTGTGTTCCTTAATTCGTGTACTAATCTTTCTCCCAGTTTCTCTATGTACACTTTTCCGCAGAGGCAAAGAATCCTGCATATCCCTGGTGTTTCTAAGTGTGGTTTCTAGTTCTTGGGATTAGGAAGTAGTTGCGCAATCTTTTTTTGAGGTTTGGAAATTACTTTGATGTTGTGCTTATCCAAGATCCTGTTAATGCGTTCTGTTGTATCCTGAAGATACGGAAGGATCGTCCATTTTTTATCTTTTTTTCTTCTTTTCACTTGATGTACTCATATTTGTAGAACTGGAAATTTTGTCTTTTAGTCTTTCAGTTATTCGATTATTGTCTTTACTGTTGTATTTATTCTTAGTCAAGACTTGGTTGAGATGTTCTAATTTTTTATTCAGGGAAGTTAGTTCAAAAATTGTTAAGGCTCTGTATATCAATGAACTGACGACAGAATTCTTCTGAGTCGGATGATGATGAGAGGTGGCATGGAGGTAACAATCCGTATATGTTGGTTTTTGATAAACCCGATGGCCTAAGGTGCCGTCTTCGTTCTTTTTAATCAACACGTCTAGAAAAATGAGCTGATTATTCTGTTTTATTTTTATTGTGAATTGAATATTAGGATGCTGGAAATTGAGAAAGTCAAGAGATTGAGAGAAATTGAATGATTCCAGATGACAAAAGTGTCATTAACATATCGGAACCCTATTTGGCACACTGCTTTTAATATACATTCATACACTAGGGGGGCATAACGGAATACTTTCCCATAGATGAAAAATCTTTCACAATATATATAAGAATCACAACTTAAAAAGGCTTAGTATGCTCTCAGCCCTGAAGATGCAAACTGCAACGTTTGCGAAACGTCGGCATTAAATGGCTGTTCAATCACGCGGCATCCATCCGGAAATCTTTTGCATTGATGATTCCAATGGCCGCGAAAGCCTCAAAACTAGAAAAGAAAGAAGTATTTTCATTCTTTCAAGAAATTCTCTTCCAGCCTTAGTTTTGCAAGGAGGCAAATCTAAATTATGAAAGTATAGTCATTTTTTGCAATTCGAGAAGCGATCACTGTAACCAGAGCACCAATCTTTACAAATGTAATCTTATTGCAAGACCGAGTTGTCCTTGTGGGGCTTCTATTCAAGACATTAGTCACATTCTTTGAACTTGTCCATTATACAACAATTGAAGAACCTCGTTTGTTAATACTTTCGCTCAATTAAAGATTCCTGTATCTTTAGAGGCACGCACTCTTATTCAATCTGATCTCCGAATTCCTGATTATTCAGTCCTTTTTCTTTCTTTAAATCTTGTGATTTAAAAATTTTATACTTTCTTTGGAATTACAATCTTTTCCTATATTTTTATCAACTCAAATTATTCCTCAATCTTTATATTATTACAATTTTTCCCTTTTTCTAATCTTCAACTTAATTTTTTTACCAGGTCGTATAACGTGTATACATACAAGCCAATATTCCTTCAAGAAAAAGAAAATGTGTCCAGTCGAGCGATATCCAATCGTTGAGTTCATACGAGATATGCTCCTTTCCTTGGAAACGAGACGGTTTATTCCTGCGGATTTGAGTGATTAAAGGATAGAACGAAACTACTACTTATTCATCTCTTTCATTCCATTTTCATTTTTTCCACCATACCTACAGCGGAAGAAGAGTGCTCTTCATTTGGGAAGCCCAAAGCAGTTGGGCTTCCCAGAATCATTCTCCTACTCGAAAAGAAGGGGCAACACCTTTTACTCTCCCATTTTGTGCTCGAAATCCGAGCAAACTGAATAGCATTGTATGCACTGCGCTGCAAAATGCGACAGTTTGCTACACCAATAACACATGGTAAACTGATTCACGTCTGTAGCTTTATATAACTATTGCCTTATGTAATCAATCGCGAAGCAGCGGTAACACTAGATAGAACGTTTCTACCTCTCAACAAGAGACGGCTAAAATCAAATAGAATTTGGCGAAATTTCGTTGCCAGGCGGAAGGAGAGTTCTTGTTGCGAGAAATCCTTTTATCAATAACCATACTGCGAGGAGAAAAGTTGACACTATGAGAAAGAGAAATAGTAAATCTGGACTCCTTGGTACAATGGCGGTTAAGTTGATCATATTGGTGAGGGAATGTTTCACTTGCCGAAACGCGCTTGCTAAGATCCGAGAAAATATTTCTCTTCTGGAAATTGAGCAATCTTGGCTCACGAAAATTGAAAGGAGACAGCCTTTGCAAAATCTTTGGTAAAGATAAGATTAGAAAAGTTGAAAAACTTGTAGATAAGTTTAACAAAGTTTTGATAATGGAATAAAAGCTGTTCAGTTCATAAAGTTCGCGGATATACGTCTTCGTGGATTGAATATGTTTACCGTCCCTAAGATGGTACAAGCGGTTTTGGTGGAACAATATGGCTATTCTGAGGAGGACATTTGTGTCGGAGAAATCCAGTAGTCTCCCTCGGGACTGGGTTCGATTTGAACGAGATGTTTATTATTTATCCTGACAAGACGCACGTCTCTGAGCTCCTCTAGTAAGTACTTTTACTTACGATCTTCCCGTCGAAGCGGGAGAAGGCGAAGCCGATGATCGAACTGTTACAATGGCCGTCTCATGAAAAGTGGGAGAAACATCATATCCCTTAACTCGATTTTTTGTCCTTTTTTTATACGATAGAAACACTGGACTCTGAACAATATTGTTGCAATTTTTTGTTCTTTTTTGTAACTACTTTTTTGGGACCAGTTTCTACACAACGCGGACAGCAGCAGAAAACACGAGTTTTCGCTCGAGAGCAACCATCCTGGAATCAATGACAGTTTCTGAGCTAAAAGACTCCTCTCTCTGCCTACAAATTCCATCTTCTCCATTGAAGGAGCAGGTTTGTTAACCAACTGGACACCTCTGAAATCCGGGTTGAAAACCGATGTAGAGCAACTACATCCGCTTCAGTCACAATCTTAGATTCCGCCGTCTTTTTCATCCTCCAAATCAATCTTTGCAATTTGCAACTCAATTTTACTGCAACTTTGTCTGCAACGAATTCGACCTACCTAGGAATTTGAAATGTTCAATTTAAAGGTGACATTTTCGACTACTTGTGAGACCCTTCAAATGAGCATTGGAATTTTTTATAAGTTATCTCTTTTCACGGATATCTATCTCGCTTTTGAGTATTTCATCACTGGCTGTCCTAAGCATGTCGCTAAGGAGTTGTTATTAAATAACCCCCGCTCCTTGGTTGTTTTCTGGCGCCATATTTCACTCGGACTTCAAGTCCAAGATTTGGTCTGAAGCTGTCAACGTACGGACGCATTCTTGACCAGAGATTTCTTAACCTATTATATGTGTGTGTGTGCATACCCTATTATATCTCATCACCTTCCTGTATTGGATCTTTATATTAAAATTTATTTTCTCCCTACGCGAATGTCTTTAATTCGGGCGCGTGAGTGAGTGAGTGCGAAAGGTGCACTGGGTTTTGCGAGAAAACGCTAAAGCCTGTCTGAGGACGCAACAATACATATGTATATGTATAACCTCAGGTCCGAGTGTTTTATTTATGTATACGTTACAAAATAATGCATTATGCTCTCCCCACTTTACCCGCCCATACGCAAACCGTGGATGTTTTTTCATTAGACAGAGTATAGTTTAACGAAAAATTAAAGCTAAAATTAAAATTTTTTAATGATTTTCTTATACAGAGTTACAGCACAAAACAAAAAATATCTTAAAATGTTAGGTATAACACATTTATTAAATGCTGCTGAAGGAAAAAGATATGGATTTGTGAATACAGATAGCAATTATTATGCAGATACAACGATAAAATATCTTGGTTTGCAAGTTATAGATTTGCCTACTGCTGATATCAGTAAATATTTTTATATAGCAGCCAATTTTATTGATGAGGCAGTATCTATTGGAGGTAATTTAAATATAAGTACTTTTTGGTTTAATCATGACTAATTCGCATAAATAAAAAATTTATTAATTTTTTTTAGGTAAAGCTTTTATACATTGCATGCAAGGTGTATCTCGCAGTGCTACATGTGTTCTCGCATATTTAATGATAAAGAAGAATATGTTGGCAACTGATGCTATACACTTAATTCGTACAAATCGTGATGTTCATCCAAATAATGGTTTTCTTCGGCAATTAGCAGAGTTGGATAATCATTTGCGTAAACAACGTTTACGATTACATTGAATATATTCGAAATTTCAGTGCTGTAAATTATACAATATCTATTTTTCATGAAATATTTAAATAAAGATTTAATTATAAATAAAATATTTAAATGAAGAGAATACAAAATAAGCACTTATGAACAAGGCATAAGAGACTATTAAAAGTTTAGCCGTAAACTACAAATTCATAAATTTTGTTTCATGAAAAAATGTATTATTCAAATTAAATTAAATTAGTGTTTATAATTAATAAGATACTGCGCAATGCGATACAGAGCGATTTTTAAGAAATATATTTATAAATTAATAGTCAAAGCATAATTAATTAAAAGTCAAAAGATCAACTTGACTCGCAAGTCTGTGTTTTATTACAAATTTTCAGGATATTTATTATACATTTTTTTGATTCTATCGAATATTCTATGTAAGGAATATAAGAAAGTTTCATAAAAATATATGCTAAAATGTAAAATATATTATGTAAATATATGTTAGTATATGTTTATTAATAGTAGCAGTAGAAGTATCCATTTATTTGTTCCCCTTGGGGTTACAATCTACATAATCTTATACAACATCAACATTACTCACACAATTTAAAATATTATATAAACATTTTGCTAACTTATTTTAACTTAACCTAACTTACTCTAAAACTTATCCTATTTATTTCTAGGGGGTTGAGCTTCCACTCCGGACCATCCTTGCGGGTCTCCCTCCCTCCCTCTCTCCCTCCCCCCTCTCTCCCCTCCCTCTTTCACCCCTCTTTCCCCTTCCTCTCTCCTCCCTCCCTCCCTCCCCTTTCTCCCCCCTCCCTCCCTTCCTTCCTTCCTCTTCCTCTCTCTCTCTTTCCCTCCCTCCCTCCTCCCTCCCTCCCTCCATCCCTCTATATTTCTTTTACTTCTCTGTTTTCCCTTCTCACTCCTAATTCTTCTCTATATTCTTCCTACCTCTTGTTTCTGCGTGTCACTAACTTCTCCCTAGTAACTCTTTCTAGTGACTCTTTCCTACCGTCTACCTCTCTCTGTATCTTCTATACTCTTTGCCTAAAATATCTGTTGACAGCTGTCTCCCAAATTCTCTCTGCTTCCTTATTTATCTCTATCTGCTTTCTCTCCCTGCACTCTCACTCTACTCTTACTCTCTCTTCCTCTTCTTCCATTAATCTCTTCTCTTCTCCCTCTTTCTCCCCCTTCCCCCTTTCTCTCCCTCTCTTTCTCTTTTCCCCTCTTTCACCCTCCCTTTCTCACCCCCCTCTCTTTCTCTCCCTCCATCCCCCCTCTCTCTCTTCCTCTTTCTCTCTCTTTCTCTCTCTGCCTGTAAGAGTAAGCATGTGTTATGTGAGAGCTCTGATAAAATGAGTGATTGAGTGACTGAGAAGCGAGTTGTGGACATTTGGAGGACAGTGTGTTTGAGTGTGGAGGTTGGTGCATAAGAGAGATTGTTATCTTAAAAAACATTAGAGATCTATGACTCAAACTCGCGAGTAAAATTTTCTTTAGTGATTCGTGGAAATCGCCATAATGGTGATTCTGTAAAAGTAGAATGATGTGAGAGACAGCAGGTGACAAGTGTGATTCCAAGTAATCATAATTCAAAACTATAGCTGTGTGTGGATAAAACAGGGAAAGTAATGAGTGAGAAGAAAGCAGTGCCTACTTTATGTAGGCAATGTAGGAAAATCATTAAGACTGAGATAATCGTATATTTACCCTGCGATAAAAACTTTCATTCTATTTAGTCATAAACAGCATAAGATGTATAATTCTGTTAACAAGTTGGTTCCGTGTAAAGGAAAATTTGAAATATTTACACAAAAAAGAGGATGGAAGGAGGCAGCGGCGAAGGAAATGAGAAAGAGGAAGTGTCGACGCAGGTGCGTCTAGTTTGGCTGCATCGCGCCCTGTTGGTGCGAAGCGGTCTGAATCGATGAAGCATACCGATGATAATATGGATGCCAAAATTGAGAAAATTTATAAATTAGTAAAGGAAACCAGAAATGAAATGATAAGAAAGAACATGATTAAGGGATGCCGGAGGTCTACTTTTACCGGCCGAGCCGATTATATTTTGCCACAACCAAAAGTTTTTATTTGCGTTAATAGAATAACAAATGCTTTTCCACGATTAAAGTTAATACAATAATAAAGTAAGAAGCTGTCTGAATTTGTGATAAAAAGACAAAAAATTTTTAAATACGAGTTTTTTTTTTCTGGCTTCTCGCGTCACGTTATAACAATATTTGCTTGTATAAAAGTTCCACAATTTATACGTACACAATAAGACAGGTTTCTACAAAAGATTGCATAAAAGAATGTTAGTGAGCTTGCAGAAATGAGTTTAGAAGTCTAATAAAAAAGATCTTGGTTGTGAAATATTTCATTCACATGTGTATGTGCGAAATGACATTTGGGAATAATACAGAGCAGAAAATTAGTTGCGCGATGTCGCGATAGATGGAGCTGCAATCGTGCAGTTAGACAAGGACAGTCATATTATCTTCGTCTCTCTCATACATAGAATAATATCACGCAAAACGTCTGCCTCTTTGTCAACATAGAGTTTCCTTCAAGAAAGGCTGGATGAAAAGGTTAGTATATTTCTTTATATGCATGCATGTATGTATGTATGTATGTATGTATGCGTATGTATGCGTAAAAAATGTTTATAAAGAAATATATATATATATATATATATACTCACAATATATAGTAGAATGTACTACTTAAGACTCACAAGGGAACGTCTTACATTGTTTAGGCTGAAATAAAGAGCGACTATTACCAATAGGTTAGGCATGTCTAAAGATAAAACTGTGCCAAAATTAATTCCCACTGTGTACCAGGATTCGAGTAATCAAGTTGCAAAAACGGTTCTGTGATGGTACATTTTGGGGTATTGTTGCGCCTACTTTAGTGACAATAAACAATTTATACAATAACTTATATATATATTATATATATATATACATATATACATATATATATAATGTTGTGACGTGACATTTTTTACTGTCCGTCACAAGGGCCGAAGGCCCGGCCGGGAAGGCGGGAAATTCGGGATCTTTGCTCTCTCGCCGATCTTTGAGAGAGAGAGAGAGCACCCCGAAAAATAATTTTTGCGTTTTCTCCGCGTCGGAGGATGCGCTCTGCGCATCCGTTTCGCGAATTACTTTATTTATAATTTTGTTTAAGCGATTTTTTGCGTTTTCGGCGAGCAATTTTGCATAGGGTCCTGTCTCAACCGGAGAAACCGAGAGAGAGAGGGTGAGGACGGAGAGAACGAAGAGGACGATTTCGGACTGAGCAGAGGCCACCACGTCCGGATCACGCCCGGTAAATATTATTCACACATAGATTTTTGGGATTGCTCCTCCCGTTAAGAACCGGGATACCGCCATAAAATGTTCCTTCTTTCGCAGAGATTCCGGCAAGAGACGGGGATGGCCCTTCTCTCGCGAGAGAGCCCGGAAACGAAAGGCGCGGGAGATACCCTGCCTCGAGCCTCCGCAGATCCGGATACACGAAATTTCACCATCGATCAAACAATCGATCTGGAGGATTTTGGGGAGGAACAGCAAAGAGGCGCGCTCGTAGGAGTCTTCCCGACGAACAATATAGAGGAACAGCGGAACTCAATGCGGAAGAAAGAGGAACGGCGAGAGAAATTTTTCTCAAGCGAATTAACAGGGTCCCGCGGGACGCCAGGCGGCGGCCTGCCAGGATAAGGAGCGCCACGGGTGGAAAATGCCCAATTTATTATCGGCGTGATCCCGGCAGGCCTCTTGCTCGTCACTGTCTGGCGGAGCGTTGTCGAGGGCAGAGGTTCCTCTGCGTGCGGATGCCGAAGCATCGAAGGACCCACCAATACCGGTGAGACGAACGGCCATAATTTTGTAAAGCCTCTAAATTCTTTCTTTTGTGAGTAACGTTTCGGGAGAGACGCGTGTCACGGCCGCGGCCGGTTATTAATATTCACCGGTGTCATTTCGCGATATTACGAGAGGTTTAATTTAGAGTTTCATTCCGCGTGGAATTTATCCCGGCGCCCGGCCGACCGCGTGTTCTCTCTCCCCGCGCGTATATTAAAAGAGCTCTCTCTCCCTCGGATACGCCGACAGTCGCCGCGATTTCGTTACATTACGTGTAAATAAAAGTATCGTCTCGTAATTATTGTGTCGTTTTCTCGTCTCAGAGTTTACACGATTTTTGTATATACCATCTGATCAATAGTCACGTATGAGAATGTAGCTATTCTTTCTCGCGCCTGTCATTATTCGAGTATTTTTTGGATTCATTGTAACATCGTGCGAGGGACGACCGGCGTGATCGATCTCCAAGGAAGTCGCGCGGGATCTATACAGTTTACAAAATTTTACTAAGGTAGTAGATATTAAACTGACTACACTGGCTGTCTATTAGATTGTTAAACATATTTATTGACGTTTCGACCATACGGGCTGTGGTCCTTTTCAAAATTACAATAGAAGCATTCTAGAAATTAATGTACATGCAATCAGAATCAACATTTAAATTGAAAACGTGAAATGTAACAAATGAGACTTACAATGAGTTACTGCATATCGTTATTACATTTAAAAGTACGCTCCGGTGAGACTTAACTTAAGATCGGATGGTAAATTAACTGCGTTTCACTTGTGTCATCTTGCACGACTGAGCACACTGTACTAACGAATAAACACGCCGAAAATTATGTCAAAGTTAAAAGTTAACAATATTTACATTCTCGCTAAATTGTGATGTACCATATGGCAAATTCCTAAAATAAAATATAAAAATATAAAAAATAATAAAAAGATAAATAAATAAATAAATAGATATATTCGGTTCGCTTATGTCATCCTGCCTTAACATACCAATAATAAACTACTAATAATAACTCCTAACCATGTATGTTAAATTTTTTTTACTTCAATTTCTAACAAACTGTCATATATCGTACTAAAGCTTTCATGTCTTTCTGTAAATTGATAGTGGAATTCAATTCTTGATAAAGTACATTTCGGCTATTTCTCTTTTTCTTCTATTGTTTTCTTTATGCAGAATTAAAGGATTCGACCAATCAAATTCATGTCCTTGATTAATTCTGTGCTCACTAACAACAGAAAAATTGCTCGCTGAATTTTTAATATTACGTCGGTGTTCGTTAATCCTAGTACTAAGATGTCTTTTTGTCTGCCCTACATAATTAGAATCACAATTGTTACAATTAATACAATAGACTACGCCGGTTTGTTATTAATATCTAAATTATCTTTCCCCGATTTTATTAAACAGTTCAGTTTTTTGGGGATGGTAAAAATTACGTTAAGGTTCTTTTTGTTTAGAAATCTATATATGTCATTAGTGAACCGATTACATATGGAATGACGATGAAATTTTCCCTCCGTCGAATCTACATTTATAATTTTTTTATCCTCATTGTTTATAGGTTGTGACA